CCCCCCTCCGATGACTCCGTCCACCGAAAGAATGCAAAGCGTTTCGCTGGGGTCCTAACATGTGGCGTGCCCTCACGGTGACTTGCGCTGCGGACGCTGCAGTGTTCCGGGGGAGGGGAGGGGCTGGATAGGCGTGGAGCCAGCCTGCTCTGCACTAAGCGTAAAAGTTGGCAGGCGAGCATAATTGGTGTAGAACAGACTGGCGCCGCATAATTGGTGTAGAACAGACTGGCGCCGCGCCAAACCCAGCCCCTGAAAAAGCCTCTGCGTCCGGAGCGAACAAGGCTGTATGTAAAGCATTTGCAACGCGCCACATTTTGTACCACCAGTCGGATCGCCCGTCAAGTCGGATCGCCCGGCTTCGCTGGGCCATCTTCCTTCCACGGGTGAAGTGGGTATTGCCCCAGAGTTTTCCCAGTGAGGCCTGTCGGATCACCCGGTCACGCAGACAGATATACAGACACACATAGAACTTCTGGATTTATATATAGAGGGATAGGGGGCACCCTGTACTTGGCAAACAGTTCTAAAATCGCTCTTTAAGCGGTGTGTTGTATGTCGGAGTCGGAAAATTAGGGAATGAAGTGAATTGGGAATATGAATTTGATTAAATTTCGTGCAATAAGTAGCAGGTAAGTAATAAATATCCTTTGCCAAGCTATCCTTTGCCGATTGCGATAGAAACATTGCAGTCCTTATCCAGATGGGTAGAGGACTATCCAAGGACTTGAAGGCAGTGCGACGGCAGCAGACAGAACCCGTTTCATGCCTGGAGTAGTGAGAAGTACCAGGGCTTTTTTATGCTTCCTGCTCTCTTTTATGTGCACACTTTCGCTGGCTGAATGGGTTACTGTATATTGCTACTGCGCCCGCAGCCGTAGACACTCCAATTCGAATGCTAACGATAAAAAGATAAAAAGGTTATCACAAGTATGCGGATTTATAGGCATAAGGCTATGGCACAAAAGCCACTGAGTCAAGAAGAGCGACCAAGGCGTGAAGGGTAGCGCACTCACCCTGCTAGCGGAATATGCGGGTCGAGTCCCGTCTTTGGTCTTACCTTTGCCCCTAATTCAGCGTTCTTGATATATTAGGTTGGCTAATAAGTAATGGCGGTTTTTTCAATTGAAAAATTTGTTCCAAAAGTGAAACGTTTTGCAAGCAAGCTTAATATCGTTTGATAGCAAACTTCTCGTAGTATTAGATTATCAAAAA